ATGAATTTGTCAAATTATGACAAATGATAATTTGTCAAATTATGACAAACTGATGGGAAGAGTAAGAACTTTTAGCCTACATATGAAAAATCAGATGCTGAATTTGACATTTTTATTCCTTTTTTTACTCCAAGTTCTCACTTATGTTTTTAATTATTTTGTATCATCATGGTTAACAAGCAAACAATGCTGTTTGACCATGTGAGCTTAAATTAATGCTTCCTGATGAGAAGGTATTAAATGCGTGCTGCAGTTAAACTGGTGTACAGTAGATGCCAGTAGAGTCCTGTGGAGTGAAAATAGAACTATGACTGCTGTTTCCATAGCAACAACTTCCTCCTGGCGCTCCTATTTATAGCAGTGCTGCAGTCCCAGCCTCGGTGCAGCTCTCGCAGGGACTCTCTAGGAAGGGTTAACCTTGTTAGGAAAAATGTAGGCATACAGGCACACTGAACCTGGATGGGTTTGCTTTCTTGTGTTTTATTAAACAATGAGGTTGCTGGTTGTGTTTATTTTCCTTATGTACGTTTTGAAAAATCTTTGTTTCAAAATGGAGAGCCATCAAAGCTGTAAGCTGTGAGCAAATACTGCTCCTCCTTCCGTGTGTTTAAGAAGAAATGCAACCCAGTGGAATAGTGCTGGATGTACAGTGAAAATCAAAACACATCTGCTTTTTCAAGAGCCTTTTTTTGTCTCTCTACCCATAATTCCTTCTGAAATATGCATGCCTGGCAAGACTCAAAATGGATTGTGTTCAATTACATAATTTCGGATGAAAATGAAGGGGGTTTTTAAGTTACAAAAGGGCTATCTGTATACTTTGTTTTACGTCATTTTCTCTCAAGGTTTATCTAACAACTAGAAAAATACCACACGTATTGCCTAAGGCTTATAGCACTGACACTCTAGGTTTTTTTGTATATATCATGTAAAAATTTTGAGAATCATTCAGTACTTAGAAACTTTTTTTATTTTCAAATTCAAAATTCATCACTTAAATTATTTTCTTTTTATGTAATGTGTTGGCTGTGTCTTTCAACTTAGAAATACTTTATTGGTCAGTAAGAGACAAGCAAAATTTGGCAAGATCCCCAAGCTCTTAAAAATGGAGGATTCCTCACTAATGCGTTGTATCAAGTAATTGCTCATTCCTTTTGTAATAAATAAAAAATGCTGAAGATGGATTTTTTTCTTTCATTTTTGAAATAACTGATGCATAAAGGAGAAAATGTGTTTCATCAAGTCATCAATTTTTAAAGCAAATAAGCAAACTTTCTTTAACCTCTAGGAAAAATAAGTTCTTCATTAGTCATTTATAAGGTTTAAGTTATTTTTTCCATTGATTAAAAAAAAAAAAGCAGAAACTGTTGCAGTATGTCTATTTAATACAGATAGAGGCCTCCTGTGAAAAAAAAAATTCCGTTTCAAATAATATGTTTCATATGTAAAAGAAGATAGAAAATAGTATTTTTATTTTGAGAACTAGAAGATGGAACCAGAAAAATATTATTTCAAGATATGGAATTAAAGCCTAAATTTTATTTAGCTGTAGGTGATCTGAAATTTGGTTTGTATTGTAAACCCATTTTTCTAAGTCCTGTTAAGGAATAGATTTAGTTGTCTTAAAAACTCTTGTTCTTGATTGCAAGATTCTCAAGGTTAACCTTCATTAAGCACTAGAGAATGGTGTTATTTGTACAGTCCTGCTTTGCCTGAATATAGAAAAATGCACACATTATCCTTTAAAAATATTTCAAACGATTTCCAAGTAAAGTTACAACACATGGTAACATGCTGTTACTCAACCATCTGGGTCCTTTGAGGAGAGGAGTCTCATTCTTAATCCTTCATTTTTAAGGCTTGACTGGTACAGTAGAGTTTCTTCTTAGAAATTGAGAAATACTGTTTTAGCAGGGATTATTAAAAATAAATTGTCCATGTAGCTACCTGGTAGATTCTTTTTCAGCCAGGAGCTGGAGGATCTGTGGCTGGGTTATAGTGCTGTGTGTTGTAATATGCCACAGGGCATCAGCCCCTGGGAAATCTGCCCAGCCAATAGATTGGCCATCAGCAGAAGTGTAAATGGCTTTGTTGCCTTTATCAGCTTGGAGGACCACTATGTTAGCCCTTGTCCTTGGGCTAACTCATCCTGGTGTTGCTTTTTATAAAACTGGGGGAGCATTTTTGCTGAAATGCTGTTTATGAAAATACCAGAATTTGCACATGCAATGTTCAAATTCGGAGTTGAACGTCTCAGTTTTATGTTACTTGTTGAATGTTACTGCTCTGAGTTTTTGACTGTGTTTTAAAATTTTGCCAAGATTTGGTGGTCAGAAGATAGCAAAAATAAAATTTCTAAAGAAAATCAACATTTCAGTGTTGACTTTGGCTGCAAGAAATTAGAAGTTTATCTCTTACAGAACAGGAATTTCAGATTCTCTCTTGCACTCTGTTCTTCCTATATAGCATATAATTTACTTGATGTAATAATTAATTGGAAGATCAGTGTGTCAATAAGATGAAAGATTAAGTAAACAGAAATAGGAAGTTCCATCTTTAAAAATCATGGACTTCATTTGGAGACATTGAAAGCCATATGAGATGTTGGTCTGTATGGTAGCTTTTTGTACTGCATTGGGCAATGCCAGTCAATGCCAAGAATTTCCTAGATTAGGAAAGTGTATTACTATCTGTGAAAATGTTACCAGCACTTTCTTTTCATGTTTTATGTGTGCAGAAACTTCTGTAACCATACACTGGCAGAAGTTCTTAAAATTCTGGCAAATTCAGGCTTTCTCTTAGGATTTCTTCTAAGAATTCCTTTTTGGTAACATGTTTTCACTCAAACCACTTACTTCTGTGATGTCAGAGCATGAGTATTGATGATTCTTCCTTTGACCCCTGCTTCAAGTGTCCAGGCTAGACATTTGGGTGCATTAAGTGCCCTGAATTTTGATGGGCAGAGTTGCTCTGTGGCAGTTTCCATATCTCTCCATAGACTCGACATGGCTGGCAGACTGGAACTTAAGTAATGTGAATCTTGTAAATTACTGTCTTTCAGATCAGGGAAACAAAATGATTTAGTTGAAGAGCTGTGTGAATGATAAAACAGCAGCAGTGTAATGGCTCAGAACCATGGGAGAGCAGAGAGACAAGCACACCATCATACCAGGTAGCTTTGTTTACTGGAGAAAACAGCCAAGGTTAGAGAGAATATGAGTCTCTTGGAAAGAATCTCTCAGTGCCCGAGGACTTGTGGTGAGCTGCAGGGGGAGCACATCTGTACAATTCCAGAGAGGCTCTTCAGCTCCAGAAAGATCACCATGCATGGAATAAGCATCTTGATGTTGTCTTAAATAATTTCTGCATTGTTGTGTGGGAGTAGCATGGCCTTTCTCTGTGTTGGGTTATATATGGCTGGAACATATCCCCTCTGCCTGCTTGTGACCCCTGGTAAGGCAAACAGATCCTCATGATCTTCACTACATCCTGTTTCTAGCTGAGAGCCTTGAGCCAATGGGATGTTCTGGATGTCATAATTGGCCTTGGAACAGAGCAGGGTGAAAGGCTGCAAGGCATGAGGTGGCATCCAGGGAAGGTTGCAGCGCCAGACCCTGATGGAGGAGCAGCCTGGGCACCTCTGCAATAGCTGATGATTACCCGAATTGTCAGATGGCTGTGCAGAATGTAGGCACCTCAACAGTTGGTTCCAAATTTTGACCAGGGGCTGGAGAAAGAAGTTACATTTCCAAAGTATCTGGAGCCTGCAAGCACAGGGCATTCCTGGGTTTTGTGTAGAGTCTAGAAATGTAATGGGTTGTGCTGGCAGAGGCAAATCACAAGTGTAGCAGTGCCCATGAGGAAGAATGTAGCCAAATTTGTAAAATCTGTCTGTTGGCATTTTTATTGTTTTATCACTGTAATGGGCAGTTTGTCAGCATGGGGTTTTTTTCAGAGGCACAGGGCTGTTATGAAATGGTTATATAATGTCCAAGGGTGGGTATCTGCTGACATTTGAAAACTATGCAGTGAGAAGTATGGTGGTGAAAAATGAGAGGTATGTCTTTAACACGTGTTGACTGTAAGACAGGAGACAGATTGTGGAAAACATATTTCAATCTTTCTTAAGAATAGCCTAAAGTTTTAAAAAGCCACATTGTAGATGTGCAGAAATAGATGTGTTTCCATTTTCACAAAAACGAATATTTAGTATTACCCATTGTAAGCATGCAAAATTACATAATTTGCAAATAATTATAGTGTTAAATACAGCTTTCAGTTTCTTTTCCTTATATTTTGTGCCATTAAAAGTTACACTTTCTAGACTTACTCCACAGTTGAAAATACTAAGATTTCTTGTGAAAGAATGAAATCTTATCAGCAAAATTTAAATGTGTTTGGTTCATTTGCGGAATAAGTAGAACCCAGTTTGAAAAAGTACAATGCACTTGTGTTTAAATGTGCAATAGAATTCAACTTCTTCACTGATTTTATCCACAAAGGAAGAAAATAATATGGTTTTTCTTCCTCCAGTAATAACGTAAGTTTGTTCAGTAACTTCCTTGCTTAGGAAGTTGATTAGTTGAAAGCATGAGACTACTAAAGATTAGATTCCAGCTGGATATGTTGCTGTGATGATGTAGTACTCCATCTTAATAACAGGAGAGGAACTGCAGAATAGTTACTTTTGGTTTTTTTCACGTGTGGTTGTGGTAAATGAAAAAATTACCTATCTACTTTCTGATCTTTACTTCTAAACGGGTTGTTTGTAGTTCTCTAACATAAAATGTATACTTAAGTATGAAGTTTAATGCGTTAAAAAGCAATGAGAATACATACTAGAGAAATTATTGCTTGTTTGTTTTCTAAAAAACAAAACACTATTCAATTTACATGAAAAGAAACTTTTCACTGTACAAACCAATACATCATAGAGCTCAGTACATCATAGAGCTTTCCTTAACAGGAAGTAGAAGAGAGTCGTGGTTAGCAAACACTGCAGGCAGGAAGCTCGGCACATGCACAGCTCTTAGTGGTGCTGGGGCGTCCAGCTCCCCTTAGATGTGTTCTCTTTCGCTTTTGTGAGTCCCTGGTGTGTGTAGATGTCAGGGCACAAGGAGGTCCCTGGCAGCCAGGGCACGGCCACGGCGCTGCAGAGACTGGAAGGGTTTGCTAACCGCCTCTTCCATAGGCACTCCAAGAATGGTGCGCATGAGCAGAGAGAGGCTCTGGAAAATGAGAGCCAGCAGTGCTCTGAGTACACTGCCCAGTGGGATGCATCAAGTAAGTGTGGGGAGGGGTTGGTTTCTTTTATAGGTGGTTGCTCTTCAGTTTGCCTCGTGAATGAAGTGTGAACACTGATGTGTGATAGGTTCTGGGGCAGTTTTGTAATTCATTACCTAAAGGTATTAATGGGAAGAAGAGCATATTGCATCAGGCAGGGGAAGATGGGGGCTGGTTCATGGACTGGTGGCTGGCAGGAGAATTTATCGTGCATTCCTTTTCCTTTCAAAGCACAGTTGACTTGTTTTGGCAAGCACCCACCCCAGTTCTTACTTCTAAATTACTTATTTTCAAATTAAATCAGTGAGTTCAGCAGAAGTAGAAGACTAACTAAAGACTAGAAGGTTTAAACTTAAAAATAGGCAGACATTGCTGTGCAGATTAAAATTCTAATTAAAGGGATTTTTCATCATTCATAGTTGCATTTTAAGGGATATATACATCAGAAATGTTCTATATAGTGGTAAACAATATAAAATTGAGTTTGATTTTTAACTATTACATATTAGCTTAGTGTGGGAATACGGATTAGCTAATTAATTTCTTAATTAGTGAACAGTTTACAGTATTATTTGTATGGATTCATATTTTCCATGGTTGTATTTTGAGCAATGAAAGAGATTTCAAAAAATCACAATCTAAATAAATTGACGTTTGATTTTCCTTTTAACTTTAAAGCTGTGTAGTATTTTGCAAAGCAATTCTTGTCTCTGGTTAAATACTCATTTTAAAATGTTACAATATGGTAATTTATGATAATTTTGTTCCAAATTTCAGATTCATTGATGGATTTGAGATAGCACAATTATTTCAGTTGAAGATAGGCCATGTTGGAAATTCTCAGCATCACAGTATTGCCATGAAATAAATCAGCATTTATACTTCTTACTTGAAATTTAAAATATTTTATGAGTAGGGAGTGAATCTATTCTCAGAGGATAAGCCGTAAACATGGAAACAAAAAGGTGTTAATGCAGTGATCTAAAATAGATTAAATCTAGGTCTCCCAAATGAGACAGGAAGAATTGACTCGTTTTGTTGGGAAGATAAATGATGAAAGTGCATAAATTCTGAGCTTTCACTTCTCCATAATATTTTCAGCTTGGTAAAAATAGGTACATACTTGTGTTTATGAAGAAGCTCTTTTTTATGTAAATAGCTGTTTGAAAAAAATAACACTGAAGCATTTTTGTTTATATAACATGAAGAGAAAAACATGGTAATGACCTAGTGACACTCACAAATTGCGACCTGTTTTGTACAAGTCTCTTACTTTCTTCCCCTCTTCATAAGGCAGGCTTCCTAGTGTGACATGTTTGATGAGGAAATGGACCGTCGTGTCTCTTGATAAACATGGAGAAAATGGCTGTTCTGTGCTATTTTAAGTCGTAATTAAGCAGAACAGTTGCATGCAGTTTTCTGAGCTGAAGTTGCTGAGCTGGTAACTGAATGGTGGGTGACTATGTAGCTTTGGTTTTGGGATGAAATTCTGAATCTTCATCCTGAAACTCTACCTTCAATCTCTAGATTATTTTTAAAAAGTAATAATATAAATTACTGTAGGTACCCATGCACTGAGTTCACATTTAAATGTTCTCATTTTGCTACCACTGAAGTCAGACTAATAGAGAAGAAAAGGGAGTACAGTGGAGGAAGTATTCCTGTCTACTCCTGACTTCTAATTAGATCTTCAGAAAAATCCATAATCACTGAAATTAGTTTGTAAAACATGAAAGAGAAACAAGGTGTTTGGGTTTTTCTGTTAATTTCATTTTGGTTGGTATGTTTGTTTGGGGGTCATTTTGTTTTGTTGTGGGGGGTTTTTATATCCAAGAGTGCAATGTCTTAGAATTGCCTAGAGTCACTGAATTCAGCTTGTAGATTAATTTCCCAGAAAGTTTAATTAATAAGCAGTGTTTTGGAAACATGCTGGTGGTTTGTCTTGGAAGGATATTTGAATATTCTCAACTATTCTTTCAATATCACTGCAACTTAGAAATGTTAGTGTAAAGTTTTAGGTGAAGCTACTTAGCACACAGCATGAATAACTATTGAAGTTCAAGGCAAAAACACTCTTATTCCTGAAAAAAAAAATTGCAAAGCAACTTCTCAGAGTTTTTGTTGTTTTAGGCTTCAGGTAGAAACTATATGAAAAGGAAGTGGATGTATTTGTATCTTCTGGTGTAATGAAATACAATAGCAGGTCTGTTTCTTTTACAAGTGGTTTCTGCAGAAGCTCTGGGGTTGCTGAAGGGGAAGGAGCTTGTTTGGGTGGACTTTGGTTGTTAGTTGCCGTTGTCAGTGTTATGATTTGAATAAATTACCATGTGGTCTATGGCCTTTGGGGATTTTCAGTGGTTGGGTTTGAAACTTAACATCTTTGCTTAACTGTATGCTTTATATTATTTTGATATATAAAGCATACAGTTTCTCCAGCTTGCCTTGGATACTTGGTTGATGCATGAAATTAATGTGTTTTGTAATGTCTTTAGAGTCCAGTAGGGCAGAGGTGATTCAGGGCACCACAAGCCTTGAAATCTGTTTTAAGAAGTTGCCTGAGCACACATGTGATGGCACAGCCTGAACTGGTGACCAGGTCAGTTGTGCTGCACCGCCCAAGGGTGAAAGGGACATGATGGGAGCCATCAGAATGATGCATTTCATTCTTTGTTTAGAAGTCTTGACTGTGGCCGCTTGCAAATATATGGAACCTACATTTTGGTTTTTGCTTTGTTTTCTTAGTTTCTTGTTGCTCTTTCAAAAACTGAAATGCGAAAGGAAAGGAGAATGAGGTTGCTTGATTTTGAATGTAGTGACAGTAAGATCAGTGTGTCTTATATTCTTGAACCAATAAGTGTTTTCCAAATCTGCATAAGAATATCAACAACTTGGATACCTGAAGTGGTCAGAAGGGTCACCACTAGTGCATCTGCCATCTTCAGAGTCTGTAAATTGAAAGTGGATGGGTGATAAACAATCAAAAGAATATAATTTGATCTCTGATTCAAAATAATACCAGTATACTTCCAAATACAGTAGAATGATTTATAGAGATTTAGCAGAATAGTTACTTGTATATGTGTGTGCAGAAAGAGAAAAACACATGTTAAATATGAAATAATGTACAGAGCATACTGTATGAATTGCTTAAAGCTTTAGAATAACTACTAGTTGGGTACAAGTCAACAGATAATTCTGGTCTAAGGTTGCCATGGAAACAACCAGTGCTTGATATAATTGAGAACATCTTAAACCCTCCTGGTGTTTGCATGCTTTTTTCCCCTGCCATTTTGAGTTGCTTTAGACATGAATAGGTAGCATTGGTCAGAACAGTAGTAGTTAATGAGCAAAACCAAATACCTGTGTCCTGAATATTGATTTTGATATCCTACTGGTATCTTGTGCTTCGTAGTTTTTTGCATCACAAGGAGCTCATAAGGAAGAGCAGCTCTCTGGATTCTGTGTGCTCTCTTTCTGCTTAGTGTGTGTAAGTGTATTTAGAGATTGAAGCACTGATTTGGTAGAGATTAACATATTTCATCAACTGTTGGATTAATATTTGGAGCAATATGTTTCTGAAAACTAGCTCTTCAGCATGAATGGTAAGTCTTTTCTATTCCCTTTTGAGACGTTTTTTGTTCCGTCTTCACAATCAGGGAAAATCTACCAGGTTTCCCTTTCTTGTCTGCAGAGCTGCATCGACTGCTGGTTTCTTTGTTTTTGTAATCGACTCGCTGTGGGTTTCTATGTAAAATTATTAGTCTTAAAGATTTGCAGCTTTTTATTAAACAGCTTGCTTTGCATGACTGGTATTTAGTATTTTAAATATTATTTTAAAGGTTTCTTTTGGAAATATCCGATTTGGACAATTTTGTAATTGAATATATACATGTCTGTTCACTTAATTTTCTGTGTCACTCATAATAAATTATTTTCTGTGAATTTATACAAATCAGAGAGGCCTTCTGAAATTATTGTAATCATCACCTGAAAATCTAAACAGGCTTTTGTTTTTCGTCTGAACCAGCTTATTCTGCTATTATTTTTAGTCTTCCAAATGCTGGGATGGCAGAATAGTTGAGGTCATTCATGGAAGTAAGGGAGGGGAGTCTCATTTGAAATGAGATACTGTAATAGATCTAGTAAACTTATCAGGCAGGTATTTACTTTCCAAAACCACTGTGACTAGTTATTATAAGGTACTTTGAATATAATGGAGTTATGAAGTGCTATAGTCCTTCTTGTAATATTTTTGAAAGTTATTTTCTCAATATATAGACTGTAAATCTGTTTTCTTTGAAAAATATATCCTTTGAAAATTGTTTTCAAAAAGCCCAAATATGCTAGCTATGGAAATGATGCCTTTTTGTTTCAAACAGATAGTCTAGAGCTTTGGAAAATGACTTGAAACAGATTTTATTGAAAAGAAAGAGCAGTTAATCATGTATGTGGGGTGTTTGTGTGCATGTGTGTCTGTGTGGTTTTGCTTAATACTACAAATTTAAAGGACCATTTTTACAAAGATTTCATTTGTGTGCATGGCAGGGAGGAGTTATCCCACTGCCTTATCTAATATCAGCTTATCTATACTTATCTCATACAAATGTGTTGAGGTCATCTTGCCCAGAATGGAAAGTGTGGCTGTCATTTCCTTGGTGTACAAAGTACAAATGTCAAAACCGATGCAGTTATTAAGGCAGTGTTTCAGTACTTTGTACCTACACGATGGAGATTTGTGGCACAGCATCATTCACGGCTGTTTGAATAAACCCAAACGCAGGCTGTCCCTGGGAGTGCTGTCCCAGCCCGGGTGTGTGCTCCCCACATCCCCGCAGGGATGCTGGCAGGTGGAGCCCAGCACGGAGCTGCTGTGGCCACATTGCCCCGCAGGGACGCGATGGCGTCCCGGCATCCCCGCACCACCTGCCCTGCTCAGCCTCGGGGGAGGGGGAAGCGACAGCCTCTGCATTTCCTCCATGTCACAGCCACTCCTCTGCTCA